TCTCAATCAGTGTTCATGAGCCATCTACACGACTGGCGCCACGTCTGTTCTAGTCGTTTCACGTTTCGTGACCGTTTCCGTTACGGGCGATTGCCTATTGTGATGAAATCAGTGACAGTGTGAGGATCAGTCATCCCGGCATAAGAAACAAACGAACAAACTACCCGCCGCCTCCCATTACACGGAGCGTGGGGACGCCCTCCGACGACCCGCACTCGCAGGTCGTGATTCAAGGATGTTTCAAATCGACGTCTGCCGACGCTTTTATACCTCCGCTCAACGCCTCGGTTTGCCCCTCATGGGCGCGTGGGCCGCGTGCCGCGTCACCGCATGAAGTCTGTGCCACTTGGCTCATAGCCGACCACAGCCTCTCACAGAGGTCCATGACTCGCCTTATCAATCGGCCCAGTTCCCACCCTTTTCATCCAAGCTTGCCTGAGGCACAGATATCGTGTCTGGAATTATCTGTGGACATCGCGATCATGACAATGCCCAGGTGATCATAGGACATTACAAAAAACGCACCAAGTTAGGCATGTAAGATGCGAATTCAATGCGCAGGTCATCTTAGGGCAAACCGACCAAATGCATCGTTTGGTGGTTACACGCTAGACACCACACCACGCACATGTTATTGTGCTGTTTACATCAGTTGGCCCGTAAAGCATACGCTATGATGTGCATTGGGGCCAGAATGTCCTAATGTTGACCCTCTCAACTAGGCATGACTGAAGAAGTATGGATACCTTGCAGTGTATGTTTAGGGTAATAAATATTTATATGAGCACTGCCCATCTATATATTATATATATATATATATATATATATATATATATATATTATATATATGTATATCGATGAGGTGTTGGGAGTGTGATGGTTAAGATTCAGTTCCCTGCGTCGCACGCCTTATATGCTAGGGTGGGAGGCAGTGAACGCCAGATAGCCTCAGCATTCGAGTGTCGTAAAACCCAAAATGTTCCAACACATCTCTAGTATTGCACGTCAGGACTGAAGCAATTGAGCAGATTTATGCAACCGTTAGTGGGAAGGAAGGCACCCCACTCTTGCGATATGACCGAACTTGAGATGACACCAGGTCTGTAGCAGTGCATAAATAGACATCTTTGGTGAGGCAGCCATCCTGATTTGCACATTGCAGTTCTATTTGATCGGATTAATGCAAAGGTTTCCATTGGATACGCCATCTAATGTTAAAACTTTCGTGACGTCCGTCCGTCGCTGACGCACGAATGCAGTCACGGGTCGAACCCTATACCAGTAAGCTACCTAACCAACTCTGACGGGCCTAGTTGTGTCTTTTGCCTAGTAGCGCCTTCCTAGTGGCGCCTTGAGACTCTCCGCAGTCTCGAGACCCCAACCGTCTCGAGACCCCGGCCGTCTCGAGACCCCTAATCGTCTCGAGACCCCAGCGTCCCGAGACTCTCACCCGTCCGGAGCCACCCGCCGTCTAAACACCCCAGCCATTCAGAGATCCCCGGCCGTTCCGGGACTCCCGGCCGTTACGGGCCCGGTCATTCAGAGACCCCCAGCCGCCTCGAGACTCGGGCCGTCTCGCAGCTCCGGCGCCGCTCCGGAGCAGCGACCCCGGCCAGCGCCGCTTTCTTCGGCAGTCGAGCGCGGCGGGACACGGTCCAGCAACGCCGCGTGTCGCAGCCGTCGGGCTCTGTCCTTGCCAGAGGAGCGCGCCGCCACCCGCCCCGACGCGCGTCGCGCGCGCGCGCGAGCGAGCGCCAGCGGAGGCGCTGGAGGAGGCTCGGCCGCCCCACCGGCCGCCGGCCGTTGGATGCTCAGCTGGAAAGTGAAAATGGCTCGGCGACAGGCGCCAACCGCGCGGCGTCTGGCTGACACCATTTTAATGCTTGGCTGCACACGGTGCTTCACGGGAAGAGCGGGCAAGGGGGAGAGG